TTTCCGCAAACTCCGATTTACTGTTGTATACCAAGTTTTAAATTTAGTAAATTCATTACTCATTTAACTTACTAAATCCTTGGCTAGCAGTTTATAACAGATTTAATAAGATAGTGGTAATTTATAAATAGCAGATGTTTTCAACTATTATTTTTACTATTAATTTTGATACATACTGCTTTACATATACATATATTCATGTACATGGTCATTTATCCAAGTACATGGTCATATATCTATGTGTACATGTTCATATATGTATGTGTGGATTTACAGTAGGTAGTAGAGTTCTTCAAAGTTCAATACAGGAGACGCGGAAAACTGGTATTTAGATATACTCAAGATCCGCACCTAAATTTTACGAAAGGCCGCCGCTAGTTATTTATATCATTTTAAAATTAGTGAAAACTGTTTCCAAAGAAGACAAAAATATTTTAGGTAGATTAATAAGAGTTTCATGTTATTTTAATTAATGCTATTGTCACAAAGATGAACGGTAAATAGCTCCGTTTCTTTTGTGCAGTATTTAGGATACTATATCCCGCGACATTAGCATTTACACCTGACATCTACTGAAGCTCTGATATTCAGGTAGCAAACCAACAATTTCTTTTTCCTGACTTTGATTATCAAAAATTTTCAGTTTGAATTAGCTGAAATCAAAGAAAACATAGTTTGCAAATATTGAAAATATAGACATTTTTCATTCGAATTAAAAATGGCAAAATAATATGAAAACACCCCAAAAAGAATGTTATGCATACTTTTTCTCTCACACAATTCTCTGAGCGAAATAAAACTAACTACAAATGAAATGGGATTTTTTTAAAAAAAACAAGGTTTAACTAGTTGTGGTTTTGCATAAGTTAAAATTTTCTTACAGTCATTTCGGTCATTAGATGAGAATTATATCATCAGATATGTTTCGCTTATTCCAAAGCAGGTTCCATTAACCAGTCATATTAATAATTAGGGCAGTACTTGGAAAATACTCGCGATTAATTAGACGACACTTCATAAGGTATTTTCTCCTTCCCTGCAGTATGTCTTCGTGCCAACGGTAGCAGATTCGGCACGTATTCGAGAAGTCCGTGTTTGAATCCCGGTGAGGGTACTGCATATGTTTGACGTCTCCAGCTTAAAAAAATCCTAATAATTTTAGAGTAGCACCTGAACTAAATAATGGTGTAATTTGTCACTACCCAGGATATGGTAATTGAGTCCCTTAATCCCCAGTCTCCCTTTAAAAGGGGAGTATATAAAGTATTTTCTCTCTCCTTCCAGAATGCCTTCATTGTATAACAGTAGCACACTTGAAGCGTATTCGAGTGGTCCAAGTTCTATTCTGGCGAGGGTGTTGCACATTTTTCACATCTCCTGCTTCAAAAAGTCGTAGTGACTCTACAGGTTAAAAATTCAAAGAAAAGAAATAACCTATGTTTTACTGAAAAGAAAAATGCTGTTAACAATTTACCTTTAGTTTTTAACAATAGAAAAAAAATTATATAGTCCTAAAAAATTAGCAACCGCAACAAAAACGACACAGTTTAAATAATGCAAGAACGGACATCATTAGAAACAATATGAAAAAAACAAATTTTGAAGACAGCTTGAACAAATGTTCAGAAAAATTCTCAGACAAAAAAAACTTATTCCAAGCTCTATTCTTCTTCTTTTTTCTCCCTCCTGTAGATAGTGTTGCATAGCATATTTACCCTTATGGTCGGTGATAGTAATGTTTCCATTGTTCCCCCAAAACCATTTCTTAACTTTTCTTATGGAGACAGCGGTTGATACGCGCAGTTTGGTTAATCTTAGTACGGATAAACGGAAGTTGGCTGTATATTTTTGATGCAGCATAATTCCAACGTATCCTTACTTTCTTCTGTTCTAACTATAGCCTGTATTACAAAACACAAAAGCTGTATAATGATAGAAAAAACAAAACTCATATGCAATCATTTACTGCAGTGATACCTTGGTATACGTCACTAATCCGTTTCAGATCCTTGGACACGTACTAAACAAGCTTGTCAAATAGGGAATATAATGCTTTCTTATAAAAATCTCATTGTGATTATTATAACACCGTTTAATACTAACATACAAACGTAGCGAGCAAAATATATATTGTCCATAAATGAAGCAACTGTGCATGATACTACACATAAATGTTTTCCTACTATCGAGATGTCATTTTCAACAAACTTCAACGTCTCAGATCGTTGCTTAATAATCAGTTTCACACTCCTCTGCAATGTTAGCAGATTTAAAAGCATCTTTGTTTTTGAAAAAGACACCATCACAATCGGGATACGGTATGCAATGACCAAGTCCCAGATACGCATGCCATCTTCATACTTTTCAACAATCTCCTTTTTCAACTCCATGTGTAGAGACATTAGGTATTTTTGGAAGCAGGCAAGTTGAAAAATATGCAACTCCTTCGCCGGGAATCGAACCAAGGACCTCTGGAAATACGCACCCAACGTGCAGACCATCACACTACGAAGGTATGCCAAGAAGGCGGGATAAATACCTTATACCATGGAGATTCTAACAATTTTTTTTCTTTCCTTCACTTTCCCATTCATTTTTCTAAAACTCATTGCAGATTAACTTTCAAAAAATGTCAGCGAATAGACAGATAATCACTTAATTCAGAGTACCGCAAGTAGTACACTGAATAGCACCAAGATGCGTACTAAAGCTCATGGGTAGTTATAACATTGTTTCGAAAGAAGTAAATAATTGTATTGTTCGCAGTCGTGACTCATCAAAATTGAGTACTTTCTCCAAAGAGATATTATGTGTCACACAATAGCTTTTGCATCCAAACAGGACGTGTACAATGTTGGACGTACACCAAAGCGGAGGTATATTGAGGTGTCACTGTACTTTCATCACTGGCACATAGCGCCTAAAAAAATATTATAAGGAGGTTAACTGATCTGATTACATAGCTTTACAGTTAAAAAGAATTTAATCCTGAAACAGAATTAAGGATATAATAGTAAATAAAAAAAATAAGATTAAGTTTGTCTATAAACTGCAAAAATTGGGTTGCATTACATTGGTAGAAACTTCTCTTGCGTGAGAACATGTACAAGTATGATTATAAACTTCGATGTATCAAAACCATGTAATTCTATTTATCTTCGTGAAAACGTTTTCTATTTTAGTTTTCAAACGCCAACATTTCCGCAAGAAATTCAACCGAATTTGCTACTTTCCGTCTTAGTTTTATCAGTCAAGGAAGAGGGTGCGTTTGATAGCCTCTTGGGTAGCACACACACTCTTTACGGCCTCTTAAAATCTGCTCTGCCTTAAGTCAAAAGTCGCAGCACGTGTGAGATAAATAGGTGTTACAAAAAGCAGTAGTGGTTTATGTGTTGAAAGTGGAAAAGTCACTGTGTTTGTGAAAACCACTCATCGATATTTAGAAAAGCCGATTTCGGAATTTATTAATGAATATTGGAGTGTTTTCACTTGCTTTCTGATTAGTTATTATTTTTACTATATGCCAAGTACTTAATAAAAATGCTGTATGTTTATTTTGCAGTTTTAACACTTCGGATACTAAGAATAAAACATGATTTCAAACCTATATTCTATCATCTATAGCTTCTTAGAATATATATATATATGAATGAATTAGCTCAGGGAACCACTTTTTTAAAATTTAGGGAACCAATTTCGAAAAAGATTTAAAATGCCTGGACTATGTCTGCTAAAAGTATATCTAGTATATAAAGCTAATGAAATCTTTGCTGATTAAGAAAGATAACTAAAAATAGCTATGCTAACTATGATCTATCTAATTATGAAATAGGTATACTAGCCAAAAACTAATATGTATTAGTTTATTATAGAGTTTCGTTTAAAATACACAAAAACAGATGGTACCTTTGTTTTCTGAAGTAGATAGTGAGTTTCATAAATAGTTCTACCTCCCTCAATGACACTTGCTTGAATGTATTTGTTCGTAATCTATCAATCCTTTAGCCATCTCCATCACTGACATTGTTTGCGCAAAGCGCACCATAGACGATAGACTGATATTATATCCGCAAGAAGAGGAGAAGTCGAACCCACTTCTTTGATTTCGTCAGCCAAGTTTCATTAATTACTATACTGTTTAGAGAATCAAATGTTTCCATTAGAATTTAAGGAAAGGTTATTCTGTACCTTTTCCTTAAATACATAAGGAAAAGGTACAGAATAAGGAACAAGATAGTTTTGGCATAATGTCAGCCAACAGCAATTATTGCTGCCAGTACAACCAACAACAATTATTGCTGCTACGATTACCTATCTGTACTAGTTTTAACTAGATTAATTGCGTCCTCATCTACTTATATATCTAGCTATCTATGTATATCTATATATATCAAGAACTCATCACATCCACTATTGGCAGTCAAGGGAAAGTTTTCGTACGTAGAAATGAATTACACATGTTTTACATTTTAACTATAATAAATGAAACAACACTACAGAATTAAATATTGCGTGTTCGATTACATCCAAAATATTTAATGGAATTAATATTGGATAAAATAAATTCTTTTTAATAATAAGCCTCGACTATTGCTATGGATGTATTAAGCACGTTTTTTCTAGAATTTGATCATTATATTGCAATAAAAACTATTTGCAGCAGTCGATTTTATTAAAGTCAGACTTATGCATATTTCGTTGAACATAAATTTATTCCTTAGTGCCTAGTTGTAATTCCAGAATCACCAAAAATGAAGAGAAATGATTTGCATTTTATGAAATATTTTTTATCTCATTTATGTGAGTAGAAAAAGTGCACAGAACATGCACGCAGAAACAGTATAAAATTTCTTGTTTCCTCATGAGCATTGTTATTCGGAACAGGCGATGATAATAGTTCTTATATACGAGTATATGTTAAAATTATATCGTATATGTTAAAATTTAATTATTTTTCAAGGATTAATTTTTGTAAAATATGTTATATATTATTGTTGCAGGTTATGTGTATGACTTGTCCTCCCCTGAATCCTCCAGAGATTACGTCTACATCGATAAGGTTGTGGGTGATGAGATCGTTGGTGGGATTGAAATCAAGTCGTCGGAGCCTGACAATTCTCCTCCGCAAGCAACTAAGCACCATGTTATCGCTTTGGAGAGATCGGGCCCAAGCCCTTCCGGTAGCCTTAGTGACGCAAGCACGAGCGATGTCAGCAGCGATGATACAAGAACCGTGACTACTCCCCATTTCCTGTACAATCGGCTGGAATCTGATGCAAGCCCTCCAGCGCCAACGTCACCTAGTGGAGTAACTGTTGGTTACACTTATGAAGCATTTTTTATTACTGATGGGAGATCAAGAAGGAGGAAGAATCCTAAACAGGAAGACAATTTAGGGTCAACAGGAGGTGCTTTAGCTGACAGACCACGTTATACCTGCGGAGAATGTGGCAAACATTATGCTACATCCTCCAATCTGTCTCGGCATAAGCAGACCCACCGTAGTCCGGACTCGCAACAGGCCAAGAAATGTGAGACGTGCGGTAAGGTATACGTGAGCATGCCGGCCTTGGCCATGCACCTTCTCACCCACAATTTGAGCCACAAGTGCGCTGTCTGCGGCAAGGCCTTCTCTAGGCCCTGGCTGCTGCAGGGCCACATGCGCTCGCATACGGGTGAGAAGCCGTTTGGCTGTGCCCATTGCGGTAAAGCTTTTGCTGACAGATCCAACTTGAGGGCCCACATGCAGACGCACTCTGCCTTCAAACATTACGCGTGTACCCGGTGCAACAAGTCTTTTGCGCTCAAGTCCTACCTCAACAAGCATTACGAATCTTCCTGCTTCAAGGAGGGTTCCAAAGACTCAGTGAATGAAACATCTTCGACGTGCCATCACGTTTTTGACAACAGCGACAATTCGTCCGATCTCATGGAAATCGGTACATCACAAACTCCTTGAGGACTAATTCATTTGTTAGCATCAGGCAACAGTTTAGTAAATTTATCGTATTAGATAACAACATCTTTGGTAACATGAATGTGCTTAAAAAAAATCTTGAAATTTTTTTCGCCATTTAGAAATGCGTTCCGTTTAAAATTTAATTTAGAATTTCGGTTAAACAAATATAAAAAATTCTGAGCGGATCTAAAGCAAATAAATTAAAGAATTTAAAATTAGGGTCAATATAACAAGAGGGTTTCGTACTGTTACATAAAATAATTTTAGTAATAAGCTAAGTGCAAATACTATGTTAATTTTCTCATGATGAAGTAATCGAACTTTTGCCCACTATTTACATAATAATGAATTTTTTCATCATTGTTAATTAGCAAATTTTCCCAGTCCATTCAATGTATTCTAAATTTTATATGAAATTGGAAAATCTTTATAGATCTGTATTAGAGAATTAGTGAGACACATCTTATTGGTTTTAATGAACTTTTAATCCAAAATAGAGCCACTATACATAGAGATGACTCCAAATTATTTAAATGTATAAAAAAGTTTTTTTCTTTAAATTGTAACTTTTAAAATTACAATTTTCATATATAAGGAGTTCAGATTTTAGAATTTTTTAATAATTTATTTGCTAGAACAATGACTATTCCATTCATGCCTGGGATGTGGATTGTCTGATATGTATAAGAGCACTAACACTTTTATCCAACACATTTGAGTTGGAAAGAAATTATTACTTGTCCCGCATTTATTTGCTTTTCAAAAAATTCATATATTGGAAAACAATAATTCTGACAAAACCTACTGGATTAAGGTTTGTGAACTAACAAACTGAAACTTAATACGAAATGTATAGTCACAACGAAAGAACTGTATTTTTGCTTCCTTGAAATTTGAGTACTTGTAGAATAGACAAATACTACTTTTCTGAAACGTAATTAGCACAAAACGCCAATACGTATGCAAACTGTGGAATGTAAAAATACATGCGATGTGTGATGTTTGGAAAAGGATTTACTATTTTATAGCGGGTACTTTTATGAAAAAATTGCATGTGTTCTGAGCTATATTTATATTTCAGGATGAATTTTATTACTTTGAATAATGTGTCAATATATGAAGATCAAGAAGCACAGTTATTAGTGAAAAATTTATGTTTATAATGATTTATTTTACTAAGTATACGTGAAGTAATTATTTAAAGGATATGCATTACGCACAGATTCAGAAAGGATGACTTCGTAACAAGAAAGCATTATCTTATAATTTAAAATTAGTAAGTTGACCATGAACTTAGTTTTCATACTTTTACTTTCTTTCATTTATAAGGCTTGCAGTAGGCAAATATTCCTTATTGTAGGTTAATATTTTATTGTAAATTCAGGGTAATTTTTAAACTAAGTTAAATTTTTCGTTTAAAAAAAAGCAAAAGTTTAAAACAAGTACTAAATAGTTTTTCCTATATAACAACATTGCCATTACCATATTTTAATTTTATCAATGAAATTACTTTAATAAAGATAAAAATGTTTTGAAGCTTTGGAAAGAAATTTATACATTATAATTATAATTACATATGACATTATTTCATAAAAAGAAATTTTATAGCTTAAAAGTACAAATAGTAAATAATTTAAAGTAAACCAATAGCACAAATGACTGATTAAATGTGCTGAATATCATGAATCTGAAATAAAATTTCCATTTTGCAAAACTGTTAAAAATTAATATTTGTGTTCACTTAAAATATCTCTATCGTGTAGACAATATGAACTCAGGCGCTAGACAATGAGAGGGTAAATAAATTCTCTACGTAATAGATGTATTATATGATGAATCCATTAAACAAGAGTTTTAATTGATTATTCAGGACGTGTTTAAAATGTTCTAAATTTACTTTAAATAAAGGAACATTAATGGCTGCAAATATGTAAACTAATGTTGAAAAAACAATATTTGTTCAATTTGAAATAGAAGTTTAATTACAAATTTTAAATTTAGTGTTAAAATAATTTCGTTTCTTTAGTAGATAAAAATATATAATTTTTTTGTCTTGAAAAATGACGACTAATTAATTTTCTTCTAAATGTGTTGCGATTTTTTTTCAAATTTGTGCTAGATTTAATATCGATTTTAACTATATAAAACTTATATTTAACCATAATTTAAGAAAAAACTGCAGTCGTGTCATTAACAACATTTCATCACATAATCACTTTTCTTATCACTATTACATGAAAAATCGTTAAATATTCCTCATTTGATTTTTATACTGCCATTTGAGCAAAATACATCTTATACGCTTAAAATAACATATAAGTTAAGAGTAAAAATTATTATCTCTAAAATATTCTGTAAGAAACATAGTTTCTCTAATGCACATGTAAATACTTTTAGCGTTTAATAAACACGAAAAAATAAACATAACAATCGAGATAAAACTTAATGCAAGAACAGTATTTGTTTTCTTAGATAAAAACCTTTCAATTTATTTCCCGAATTAAAATTTCTTTTAAATATTAACTTTTCTTGCCACTTATTTTTAAACCAATTGTAATATATATCCTAGAAAATATGAATTAAAATTTTCCTGCTGTATTTCTTAATTATCTTCAGATTCATGATTATCCTAATTATGTTCAGATTATATTCAGATTCAGCTGTCCTAATTATCTTCAGATTCATGATTAAGTGATTTGAAAAGTAAAATAAATAATATGCATTTCGTAAATGTAACTTTACTCAGATAGTTTTATTTGGAATATTTATATATTTATCTTCTCGCAAAATTATTTCATTTTATTCGCATTTGACACCTTCTTAATAATAAGCAACTTCGAAATGTAAATAGTGTAAAAAATACGCGCGATATATTTAAAGAATGAACTAACAGTACAGATAATTTAATTTAACGGAGTTTCGTAATGCAGCTCGAATATTGTGAATACATTTTTTCTTCACTTATTTCCTCATACTAGTTTGACTACTTATTCATCTGTAAAACATGTAAATATGCATATATATATATATATATGGAAATTGTTAGACTCTTCAACAAATGATGTCTTTCAGTAAGAAAATGAATTTTTACTAAACAATCATTGATCCACTCTTGCTCTTCAAAACGGCTGACTTGAAAACTAGCAGTCCACGTATTTAACGTATATTAACTAAAATCGCCGGGCAATATATGCAATAATTTCTAGTCTGAGAACACCCAGTGGTTCTCAAAAATAATCGAGACCCTGTGATCCGACTCAATTCTTTAGCAATAATTTTAACATGCATCCTAAGTATTTTAATCACGCTTAATGTAATAAGATCTATGTAGTAATTTTTACTTGAAGAGTTTGTGTTTAAATTACACACATTTAGAGCATAAAATATTTTTATTCCAGTCATACCTAACAATTATGTGATATATTTATTTTGAAATGTTATTTGTTGTTATTTATTTTATACGGTCTTTGTAGTTTGTTTTGTAGTTTTTAAGACAAAGTGCCGTGTCATTTCTCAGCTACATGTAAATAAATACTTAAAGAAGATAATAAAATATAGCTATTCGCATAAAATTATACCATATTCAAATATATATGTATATATATTTTTAAATAATAAGCCATTTTAGGATAAGAAACAAACGTTCGGTGCTTAATAATGCTTATAAAAATGTGTTATATGTTAATTTAACGAAGAGCATGAATATATGCAAGCATTTATTTTCGGTTCTCTGTAATGTGAAATAAAATTATGTAAAAGTATGCATCAAGATTTACTGAACATGAAGTCAAACTCATAATGAAATCTCCATTGATTTCCTTCAGACACTACCAATAATCTCCTCAGCGGTTAACTGTTACATGTATATCAGTTAATTAATAAAAGAGAAATAATTGCTAAGTGCAAAAGTTTTAATAGTTAAAATCTAAAATAAAAAACCAGGATAATTATTTAATTCCTTTCAAAACTCAGAGTAAATAATGTGTATTCAATTCAATTTAAAACTTTAAAAATGGATTAAATCCAAAAGGGATTATATTCAAATGAGAGGAATTCGTTAATGCACATATAAGTGCAGTAGCTAGTAGTTGATAATAAAGTAATACTTGAGACTTATAAATTTAGCTCTGCAGATTTTAAATTTATTACGCAATACTTGTTGCTAAATTTCATCGTTTGTTGGATTTATATTGCAATGCAATAAGAGCTCAATTTATTATATATATGCACACACTTATTTATTTAAAGTTTAAATTAAAAGAGTAGTCATAATCGAACTACATGTAAATCTAGAAAATCTAGTAGTCTTTTCACATACGACAAGAATCAAAAAAGTAATAATTAGCTAGGTATTATAACCTGAAAAACAAAACAATTAGTCCAATTTTTAAAGTTAAATAAACATTAAACTAAATACAGGGATATTAAAAAAATCTGATAAAAATGTAAAGGCTATTAGAGGCGAACGATGTATCATAATTACTTAAGCAACAGTTTTTCAAATAACTGACGAAGTGAGTTCTTTCAAAATTAATGAAATCTGCAAATAATTCTATTAAAAAATATAAAATAATTGATATTATTATTTTGAAAAGGAAGGAGACATGATCTAACTGAATTATCTTTTTACTGGAAGGAAATAAATTTTAATTGCTAAATAATTAATTCAGCAGACAGTTGTTACAAAATAACAGAAAATATTTCTTACCGTTTCTCTCTGTTGAAGAACTTTATGCTAAATGATATTTAATACTTACAAATAAGCTTTGTTCTTTGATCTTTATGATAATAAAATGAAGAATCGAGTCTGTCGGAATCGAATGGAATTTCATGAAGAAAAAGAATGTACTAATTTTGAAATTGAAAGTTCATTCATTGCTTAAATTACTTCAAATGTCAATGTATTATGCTTGCTTGAATGCCTACTTAGAAAAAAAATTAGTATTAAAGAAAATAAATATTTCGCACTGTGTGAGATATGCCTAATAAAGTGCATATATTCGATGCACTAGTTATTATTTACAGCAATTGTCTTGAATAGTTTAAATTTATATAAATATTATGTAAATTTGCATTAATGAATTTAATGATAAATCTCGTTTTATTATTGTTTTCTGTTGTGTTTCCCTAGATGATATTTTTCTTTAAACTTGTTATACAAAACTTTTTAAATTACATATAAAAATATTATAAAATATTTATTTTAAAGCTTTTATGTATCCAAATTTTATATTTTGAATTTATTATTTAAGAAACCGTGATGTTCCTAATCATTTTTAACATTTTACAGTACAAGATAATTCATTTCACGCATAGTGTTTATTTTGTGCAGTATTTTAGATCTGTTTTTATTGCTTGTAAAACAATTTATGCTTTACTGTACTTTTTAGAGATAACCATGGATCAAAGAAGTGTTTACAGGTATGATTGTAGCAGCTAAAATACTGTCATATCTCTGTATATTCGGAATTTATGCTCAGAAGTGAAGTCATTATCTTATGTTCTTCATGAATACTGTAACATTCGCCATATATCGTAAGCTTATTACCAGTTAGTTAAACAATTCCTAATTTATTTTCCATCATTACGACACGATTTGAAACTGCGAAACATTTCTTTTTATCAGAAATTTTTTTTTTTCAAATGTTAATCAAAAAAGAAAAAAGTCTCACATTATAGCAACTAAAACAATTATTTGCATTCCCTTTATTAAAAACTTCATCATCAAATGGACTAAATTATTTTATATAAATAAATAAAATCTTCAAATTCTTAAGTATAGACAGATAAGTATTTATTATACATTTTGGTTTTTCTCTAGTGAGTTTGTCCAACACAAAATCAAGCATTAAAAGATCCCTTTGAGTGTAAATATCTCAAATATTTGATATGCATTGCTGGATGCTTATAAAAGCAATAATAATTAAAGCAATAATTTTATTACAACGCATACCTAAGTAGTAAAATTTATTTAAACATTTTTACATTACAGGAGAGATAGGTGAAAGAAGTTTTATGCAAATATAAAGCAATAATTCTGCATGTATATTATATAAATATCTATCTATCTATATATATATCTATATATATATACATACTGTACATTAATAGTTCAAAGTAAATATGCGGAACTGTATACAAGAATGCGCACGTTAAGTTCTAAGCAATGATAGCGAGCACAATTATGATCCATATTGTAAGATAATCCTTGTGGAAATAAGGTCAGAATATTTTGACATTCCACTGTAAGATATAGCTTCTAGATGCCTTTGAAGCTTGTAACAGCAATATTACTGAAACTTTGTACAAAAAGCAATAATAGAACTAGAGCAATAAGTGTATCATAAAGCAATAAACTGAAGATTACGAGTAGAACTCAATCAACAGTTCATACTCTTTTCTTCTCTTGCCATATTATGAAATGATGAATGATATGCAAAGATGAATATACTTGTAGATGATAAAAAGTGATAGATTTTGTAACTATTTTAAAGGGCGTAAAGTCATAAGCCCTAGAAATGTGAATCAAATATGTTTTCTTTTATGGCAGTGATATTACATTTGATTTATGGGTTTTGAAAGGTATTTATTATACGGATTTGCATAGAAATGTAGATGGAAAATGTATAAATTATGCTTAAGTAGTTGATAAGCATAGTGATTAAATTATATAATAACAAATTGTCTTTTTAATGCCTGAAAAAATTGTCCGTTTAAAATAATATGCCAATATTTTTTGACAATAAGAAAGCTCAAGCTTTATGAATACAGAATACTAACAAACAGCATGAAACATTTCTGTTTTAAGTATTTTAAATTATTCTCTGTTTTAAAATGTTTTTTGAAAAGAAGTTGGTAGAAGAGTTAATGCTTTTAATTTTAGAATTTAGATTACATTATCACCGAAGAAAGTACCTAAAACACGGAACCAGTACTGACTGGCAATGTGCAAAACCCAGGTATATTGACATTTAGCTTTTAACTATTCATATAATTTCAACCGTGCATAAATTCATCATTACATGAGAATTTAAGGTACAGGCATTCTTTGTTTTATACGTAAATCTTATGGAACATATTATTGTGAAAGAATATTGAATTGCTTTCAGAAAATTTAAGACTCTATTGTTTTGAATACTGGTCTTGAGCGGATAGAAGGATATTGATGTAACTTAATATTTTCACAGTAGTTTTATCTGATATGAATAAGCACAGTAAATAAATATTAATATTAAATTCATTATTATATTTTCCTATTAAATTCACTCCCCAGGGGAAAAAAGATCACTGAATTGGTGTTCATTTTGTACAAAATTTTTAATTAGTTTATAATGAAATTGACATAAATTCCTTTTCAGAAGCCTTATAATTTGCGATGTTTCATACAAATGAAGTATTCATTCCACTCAAAATAATCTAATTATCATTTTTTTGGGGGGGAACGGGATCATACATGGATAAATGTTAATTGCTAAAATGTATTTACTAATGCATTTTAATTATTATTCAACGTAACCAATCGTTTTGATTTGTCAATCAATTTGAAAATGAGGCTTTCTAATTAAAAAAAAGTAATATTAAATGTTTGGTAATAAAACAGCATGTGAAAATTTCAAAAATTGTGAATATTAATTTTTGATATATTTTTCATAGGCAATTTTTTCTGCTGCACAGTAATTCTTTCCGAAGTACACTTGATTTCGGATGATGAAAATACAATTGAACTATAATTGTCGTCCTTATTATCTTATTCACTGTTAATTTAAATTTTAATTTTTGTGTATGTATAAATTTCCTTATAGAGATTAATATCTTTATTAAATAATTTCTCTCTGTAACAGCAAAATAATCCATCAAACCTTAATCTAATAATTTTATTAATATCCTCAATTTTTTTTCTACATTGTTTTGTAGTCACGGCAATATTTTTACAATTTTTTTCCCAAATACTGTGCTTGAAATAAAGTGTTGCTTATCACATGAAAGAAAAGGTGCAGTATCCGTGATACGTTAGCTGACAGATGTGCTTGAATCCTAAATGCACAAATAAATAGCAAATATCAAAAATCGGAATGCTTGCGTAACAGGTTAGATTAATTGTGAATTAAAAGCCCCAAAATGAAATTACTATCAGGTAGAAATGAAAAGACTGATTTACATTTTATTTTTATTCAGAAACATTTGCAAAGAATTTTGCAGCGAAGTTCAATTTTTTTTTCAGTTAAGAATAATTTTAAATTATATCTTTCTAATACTAAATATAATTTTTCAAAGGATGTTAAAATTCTCATAACTTATTACACATATGAATGTATGTAATAAAAGTGATTCCTGTACCCCAAATTTCAAAAATATTCATTTATTAAAAAATATTTAATGAATTTTGTTTTATTTGGCTAATAAACTGCCAAAACATGGATTTGTTCCTAAAGTTAAGACTGTTTGTGTAATTTGTATTAAACTGCTTATATTACTATTCTTAATTTCAAGAATATCCAAAAACAAAACTATGAAATACTTAGTTATTAAGAAAGATGATCAATATGGAAAATATCCGTGTACAATTCTGAAGTATTTATTAAATTTAAAATATTTACGTAAACTTTTATGCTGGGATTACAATATGTTTAAAGCCTTAGTTATGTCAAAAATGCAAGTAATGAAGCTTTAAAATTTGTGTTACATTCCTAATTTAATACATTTTTAGTTAAAGAAATGCGTAAGAACTACATTAATGCCTATGTATGAATTTCTCATAAGAAATCCAATTACAAACTTGTCTTGAAGTTTAAAAATATGTTTTGAATTTGTTTTCCTCTTCTGAATTCTTCGACATTGAATAACATTGTACAAGGATTTCAAAAGACTATAGAAAATACGCATTGCTTTTCCCCAGCATTTGCATAAATAAATTACTTGTATATGCATTTACATTATATTTCAGCAATACTATTAATCTTTCTTTCTGTACTTACATGCTCATTTTATGCAATAAATGCTTTGGAATAAAGTAGAATTTTATAAATATCTGATTATTTTATTGTGTTTTTCTACCAAACTGCACATATTTAAATGATAAAATATAGTTATGTTTGTATTTCTGTTTAAATAAATTTTAATATAATAATTAATGACATTTATTATCAAACTATTTGCAATTAATAACGTTGAATTGGATATTTCTCCTATTCTATTTGATTATTTATATTATTTGCGGTCTGTTTTAATCGAAGACAATCTAGTCTTATTTTTAATCTTTGTTTGATAGGATACATTTGAAAAATATACATGGCTTAAAATGCGGGGTTTTGTTTTATTTAAGGGCAAAAAATTAAAAGAAATAATGCTTAAACGATTTTACTTATTTCTAAGTTAAAACTATTGTTTACTAAAATGTCACATGACCTTACCTATTTTATTTATTTTTAATTTTACCACAGAAAATAACTTTCATTATCAACATAAGGCAAAAAATGTGTTTAGAAAACCTCTCAAAATTACTTGTGGATATGAGATAGTTGTCTAAAGGTTACAAAGTTAAATTAGCAGCGTTATACATCAGATAAACTATATTGTAATGTGTTTCACAACGCCATAATTCCTTGAATATCCACCCTCTTTTTTAACTAATTTTATCGTCCAAATATTGAGAGAGAAACTTATAAGGATAATTTAATTTCCAGATGAGGGCATTAGAGTTAGAACGTAACAAACAAAAATAGTCATATATAAACTACAATCAACTATCACAATATAATTTCTTTAAAAGAAACCCGTATTCCAACAACAATACATAGTAATATTAGCATTCAATATCTAATAAGAAATTTTCTTTCCTACATCCCTATAACTTGAATATCATCCGTTGTTGTCGTGCTCTCTGCTATATCTTAGACCTCAAATAATCCATAAATAATTAAAGAAGGTGAATGTGCAACTGATTAAGCGAAATCATATGCTGAATGTCAGTTCGTGTTTGCTTCATTGTGATTTGGCGGTTCTTGTATTAGGCTGGCATAAAGCTCAACAGTTAGAAGGGGAATGTTCAATGTGACTTTTGATAACAGTTTGCGAGGGTTGGGCTTTGTTAGAAAAACGAAAGCAATCACTACGTGGACGAATCTATTTTAAAATTTAAGGCACCTAGTTCCCTGA